GGAGATTTCAGCTCCTAGCCTCTAAACGCTGAATCTGTGATGAACACTGAGACATTTGACCAAAAGAAAATAGCTGCCCTCCTTTCAGTTCTTCGCCCACAGCCCTGACTGGAAAAAGCTCTGCTTGTGTTATCTGTTGCATATCCTGCTCAGGCTGCACAGAACTCTGCTCTCATTCATCTCCTTTAAATAAGATTCACCTCTGCAGCAATTTTTCCACTTTATGTTGAAGCAAACATGGTTTTACTCTTGGATTAAAGCAGCAGCATAGCTTAGCTTCCTCTAAGATGGGGAAAAAGGGGCAGAGCAACAAGAAGAAGATAGATAAAAACAGCAGTGACTGTGTTTGAATGGAATCAGAAATATTTAGCTCCAGAAATGATGGAGGAACAGGACCTTGTTGATCAGCTGGTTTATTTTTTTCTGCTTTATGATCCGTCCCGCTCGGGTCTTTGGTTCTGTTAAAGTATATTTCTCTACATCTGATTGTGAAAACCTTGCAGCTTAATGGGGGAGAAGAGCAGCAGAGGAAGCCGTTTTATCTCCTGTTCATCTGCACAGGATCTGTAAAAATAGGTGATCTATTTCTGCACACACTGTGGGGACTGTGAGAAAATAAAGCTGCTGTCAACCAGCAGAACCGCAAACCTGAGTGAGGAAAACCCACTCATCCAATCAGCTGCTGGTGGCTCCATTCAAGCAGAACCTCCAGAACCAGGAGACCATTTATAAATTCCCTTCAATAAAATGATGCTGATCTTCTGTGGAGCTTCTGCTCTGGACTTCACTGATGGTTCTTTTAGCTTCCTGGATTAATTAGATGATGATGATGTATGTGAAGCCTGAAAGTATGGGTTTTGTTGATTAACCTCAACTTCTCCCTTATTGGTTGCAGCATTCACACAACCCAAAGACAGGAAGAGTCTGCAAAGAGAAAGACGGCCATGAAACGGCAGCTGAAGAGTTAAAAGCAGCTGAAAAGTTCCCGGTTTTAGATGTTCATCCCAGGTTTAAAGCCTGTAGAACCTTAGGGCCCTGTCACACCTTGCCGATTTTTCCTGCGTATGCGGGATGTCAAAGAATCTCCTAAAACACTGGCATATGCTAGTTTGGGCATATGCATAGAGTATTCACAACAAGTCCACAACTTATGTCCGATGACAGCCTAACTTATGCATAACGCACAGTAGGGGTGTAAATAATCATCGTTTTGTATCGATTCATCGATCCGATCCGATGCATCGACACGTTCGCAAGAGAATCGATTCATGTTTTGTTTTTTTCCTCCGGACTATTTTTATCCATTTGCTCCTGGATGTAACTCTCCCTCCCGTGCTGCGGTGGCGCTGTGGGTCTAGATACTGCCGAGGCGGTGAGGAAGTGGGGGCGAGTTTAGTCTGATGACGGAGGGACATGAGGGCAAAAAAGAGCGGAGATCCAGGTGGAAAAAGGGTCCCAGCGTTCTCGCACACCTCGCTCTTCTAGCGGCCCAAACTTCACGAGTTGTTTTCTGCAGTTTTGGTCATAAAAATAAAACAAACCGGCCTCCTGTCTGCGGTCAGCTACAATATGGGAGAGGTGCAGCCAAGCGTCTGTGGAGGGGGCGGGGACGTCTGCAGCCGAGGTATTGCATTGCACTGATTTTGTGCAGTATTTTTTGATGCAAGGCCTTTCAGAATCTATAACGCAGGGATATTATTATTTTACAGTGAGTGATGTTTTAACAGGAATAGGTGGAGTGCAACTTTTCTACTTCTGTAGTTTGCTGTTGTTTCTAAAAAAAAAAATGCATAACGATATTACAGCTTTCATTGATTTATTTCAAATTTGAAACATTGTCTAGACTGTAATCGAATCGTATCGTGGTGTATTCTTGAGTATCGAAAATAACCGAATCGTTGGGTCAGGAAATCGATACTGAATCGAATCACCATGATGGATGTGATTTACACCCCTAATGCATAGCAGCGTAATGCCAGATTACAAAACATCAGTTAAAGCAGCTCCCCTCAGGCGCATCGCTGTTCCTGAGGTGAGCAGCGATGCCAAGAGGCGTCCGGTCTGCATAAAAAGATTTAATTGATCACGGTATTGACCTAGGTGCTGTTTATCGCCCACCCCAAAAAAATAAATAAAAAGAAAGAAAGAATTTTGGAAGCTTAGGAAGTAGAAACAAACTTTAGGAAGTTTGCTGGTGGTGGGCGTGAACGCAGGGAGGATCCATCACATCCACCTTCTGGCTCACCGTATGATGGGGATGAAGTCTGGAGGAGAACTGATGGTTGTCTCCTATTAGGGATGGAACGGTTTATGAAAACTGTCCGAACCGTTCGGTTCGACCGTCTCGGTTCGGTTTGCGTGTGTTTCGTTCGGTTCATGCGCTGCTCCTTTTTCTCATAGGCGAAGCGTTTATACTCCAGAGCAGAAGGTGGCGGTACTGCGACCAAAGCCAACCACCAGTAGTAAACAAGAAGAAGAAGCGAAGCAGCGTAGCCGGGTGTAGCAGGGAAAAAATCAGTTGTGGAGAATTGTGTGGGTATGGCGAGTGGGAAAGAACAGGAGTTGGAAGACGCGCCAGCAGCACTTTATAGGTCTGCTGTATGGGAGCGCTTTGCATTTAGAGTGACCTACGATGACGGAGGAAAGAAAGTTGTGGATAAAAGTGCAACAGTGTGCAAGCATTGTGCAACACGTTTTGTTTATGCTAATAGCAACATGACCAACATGTCATGCTAACAATCAACATATACCGAACCCAAAACCGTGACCTGAAACCGTGAACCGAACCGTGGATTTTGTGAACCGTTCCACCCCTACCTCCTATATACCAAAACGCTGCCAATATACAGTAGCTTGAATTTAGAAACACGTTTTAGGGGTCGTCTGGAACACGTCAGATACGTTTATGTGTTGGAGGTAAGTTCTTGATAAGTTACGCAGAAGTTATGCAAAAGTTACTCAAAGGTTTTGGATAGGCTAGACCCCTTGACTGATGAGTAACTTACACTTAAAGTAAGTCAACGATCAGATAATTTACCTGTAACTTATGGCCCACGTATGGCAAACGCTGGCATACAGCATTAGGTAACCTACTTGCTGTATGTCGGCGTGTGCCAGTGATTTTCAGCTTATTCAGCGTGCTCATAACTTCTACAAAACACACCGATTACTTATCCAATGTATGCCAGCGTTTTTGCAAGATTTTTTTTTACATCAGGCAAACGCTGGATAAAACGTCAAGGCGTGAGAGGGGCTTTAATGACCAGGAAAAGTTGAAAAATCTTTGATGTCAATAAAGCCTTTCAAGGATGTGCTTAGATCTCCTCACACTCAGACTGATGAGGAAATCGGCTCCATAATTTAAAGCTTGGAAAGTTTAGCAAAGCAGAGAGAAGGTAAACAAGAGGTCAGTTCCTCGTCATCAGTTGCGTAACTCGCCAAGTTGTAAATCCAGAAGGTGTTTCCCTTCCCAGCAGGAAATATTTCTTAGTTTCTCTTTGGCCTGAGCCTGATAGCGCTCAGCACTGCAGGGCGTTTGCCTTCACGCAGAGACTCATGGTTCGACGTTTCCCCACGGCTTCATCTGATGGCGGCAGGCACTACGAACGGGGACAAATGTTGCTCTAAATGTTGCCTCCCTGCCTAACTGAAACTTGGAGCTGTGGTTTGATGTCAAAACAAAATAAGAAAAATGTGCTTGTATTTCTGAACTTAAAGCCTTTAGATGCATCAGTGGTGGAAGCAGCAAAGACGTTTTCCTGCAGGATTAACCAGTGAAAGGTTTTATGTCTGCATTTAATAATAATCATCTATGAATTATTTGATTCATATTAACACATTGAAACATAGATGAAATTTTCTAAATCCTCTAAGGATTTGATTCTTAAAATGAAGGAGCTACTGAAACTTGGAGCTGTGGTTTGATGTCAAAACAAAACAAGAAAAATTTGCTTGTTTTGCTTGCAGACACCCTGTCTACTTTTAAGGCTAGGCTTAAAACTTTCCTTTTTGATAAAGCTTATAGTTAGAGTGGCTCAGGTTATCCTGAGCTATCTCTATAGTTATGCTGCTATAGGCTTAGACTGCTGGAGGACATAGGGACCCCTATTTCATCATTCTGCTTCATTCTATCTCTATTCTCCCACTCTGCAGAATCTGTTAGTTCAAAATCTCTGCTTTTTCTCATAGTAGCTTCATCTGGTCTGTTCCTGTTTGGCTGTGACTCCATCCTGGAGAGAAATATCAGCTGTGCTGCTGCCAGCAACACCTTTGTTTATAGATGTTGGAGATCAGCCTGTTTTTCAGTGTAGTCCTGTTTCTCTGACTGTGACTAACTGGATGTGCTCTCCTCATCCTCTGACATGGGAGCTGCCTTGGAGCTCGTCTGCCTGGCTGTGTGATTCCTGGACGGGGCCGCCTTTTACAGCTGCTTTTTGTATCTCTGCTTCTGTCTCCTTGAACCCCAGTCGGCCTCAGCAGATGGCCGCTTACACTGAGCCTGGTTCTGCTGAAGGTTTCTTCCTGTTCAAAGGGAGTTTTTCCTCTCCACTGTCACTACAAGCATGTTTAGTGTGAGGGATTGCTGAAGATTCAATGAGTCGATGCAATTAACTGGTTTTCCTTAGATAGAAACTTTTAATCAATTTGACTGGATGATCTGGTGAACTGTAAAGTGTCTTGAGATGACATGTGTTGTGAATTGGTGCTATAGAAATAAACTGATTGAATTGTTTAACGTGTTGTCTTCTCAATTCAATCTCAATCCACCGCTGGGAGCAGGAGAGGCAGCAGAGGTGGGGAGCCTGGTTGACAGTAAAAAAGGAGGACAGCGTAGAGGTTCACAGCTTCGGGGGGGCAGGGCGAGCGTGTTTGAGGAGGAGACGGAGAGCCAAAATCACAAGAAAATATTGTGATGTCCTGGGCCTTAGCAAAGCTGTCACACATGCACCTGGATGTCTGCATGTGTGAAGCACCAGAAGCATCCCCGTTTTCCTTCCTACCTTCAGGAGGCATCAACGTCTTGTCATTCAGCGAGCACCAGCCCACTGGATGCAGCTCAGCCGTCATGACGTCACACCAGAAGTCGGCTTTGCGGTCGTCGCCGTAGCCGCTGTAGCGCAGCAGGAGCAGCTGGCCGCAGGTGGTGATGATGGTGGCCACCCAGTACGTTTCTGGGACGCTCTTGTTGGCCACCTCCAGCTTCATGCCCGGCTGGAAGCTGCTCTGCAGGCTGATTTCCACCTGAGGGAGGAGTCAGTTCAACAATCACCGAATAAACCTGAGGTTTTAACAACAGCGCAGATATAAAATATCAAACTATTGTGGAGTCATAACTCAGTGAGTGTATTAGTCATGAGCAGAGGAGCTTAATTAGTGAACCAGGAAACTGTTGGAGGGGATTTCCAGCAATGATCAGTTTAACACCTGTTAGTGTCTCAGAAGCAGCAGTCTGACAGCAATTACTGACTTCACACCCTAACAGGCTGAAAGGTCCAAACTCAACTCTCAGACATTTGGAAATTTGCCCCAAGTATAATAATCCTGTCAAAGAGACTTCATCTGTTTTATATAACTTTTGAAGCAGGATCATCGCACAATCAAGCGGTTCATGGCAAATATGAAACTTTGATATTAAGGAATCTTTTGGGTTGATTGAGAACACAACTGTGGCCCAATAATAAAGATAATCCTCAAAAATACAACTTACCTAATAATTAGGCACAAAGTGTATATAGTGACACATGAATAGAAAATAGGTTTAGGATTGTTAAAAGATATTTCACTATAACTTTATTAAGGACACATTATTTTTATAATGGCCCTAAGAGTTTATTTTTCATTCATCCTTACGTGTAATGACAAAACATGTATTTTGGATGTAGCTGCTTCAAGCTGCTCATGAAATTGATACAGATTTATAGATGTGTTTCAATTCTTGTAATTTAATCTAAATATAAAAATCTAACTTTACTTTTTTTTAAAGTGACACAGATTTTAATCCAGGCAGCTAGAAGCAACCCAATGCACTGCAGCTGTTCAGTAGGGTGGCCATTTCTATAGCACCAAAAAGGAGGACATTGTGCGGCATATCAATAAATTACTAAGGTGTACATAGGAATCGGGTAAAGTCACATTTATAACACAATTCTTAGTAGTTTAAAGAGGATGCTTGTGTAGCTGAATAGAACAAAATATTAAAGAAATGTAAAAAAGAATTGGTTCCCAGCATTTGTATTTATTTAATACATTGTGGTGTTTAAAAAGTGACCATTTTTTAACACAATTAATTTGTGCAGAACTGCTGCAATTGATCATAAAGCAGTTGTTTGGAAAAGAAGCTCGAGAAAGAGCTAGAGAATAGCATGATGCTAACTGCAAAAAGTGGCTGGAAAAGAGGAATTCATGACATGGCTGCAGCCTGTCGAGAGTAAAGATGATTTCACCATGTTCTCTATCTATCCATATCTATATCTATCTATCTATCTATCTATCTATCTATCTATATATATATATATATATATATATATATATATATATATATATATATATATATATATATATATAAACTTGAGTCATGGAACTATGCTTACAGCTCCTTATTTCATGTAAACTAATAACTTGTGTACATGATACTTGTTGATGGCATTAAAATTATTTCTAATAGCATTAAAAGAGCATTAAATTAGAGTTCCTCATTCCTGTATAAAACCTGTGAACGCTTAATTTAATCTGACATATTAAAAAAATCCCCATCATCATCCAGTTTATGTTCAGTTTCTGCCCAAATATTTTCTTTCTGTTGTGGATTTTTGTAACAGGGATAACTAGGATCATTCATAGTTTGTATGAACTCTGTTTATTCTCTGCTTCCAAACTCATCATTTCTTCATCCATTCCTGCAATAAGAATTTTCTTTTAAAGTTGTGAGATTCACTCTAGAATCTCACAACTTCTTCCTGGTCTGTTGAAGTCTGCATCCAATTATTTAATTAATTGCTCTTAGTTTTTGGGAATATATACAAACTATGCTCTAATTTCTAGATACCGATCTGTTTTTACTATAATTTAATTTGACAAACCGGGTCTTCTCTACATTCTTTTTTCTGTTTGGTGCGATTGCAATAGCGGGTCTTGATCTGGACGGACCGGAGGGGAGCAAAAAATAGCTCAGCTCCGTATTTTGACGGTGAAGGACGGAGAAGACGTACGTGGGCGGTGACGAGCGGAGGATGTGGAACAGCTCTCATTGATTTACATGACAGACAAGTACTCCGTACGTGAGCGGGGCGGAGCGCTGACGGAGTATGTGGAATCTGGGGGTAAAGGAGGACAAATACACGTCCGGACAGTGCAATGAAAATCCGGACATCTGGCCACCCTACTGTTCAGATATAGTATAAACAACTGGAGGCCATTTCATTTTATAGTTATCATTATGTAGAAAAAAAAATATATGTTTTCAATTTTGCATATATATATATATATATATATATATATATATATATATATATATATATATATATATATATATATATATATATATATATATATATATATATATAAAAATTGCATTTTATTTTTTTGGAATGGAAAAAGAGGGAACTTTCCTACAGACTCCGTAACACTGTAGATATTAGACATTGAACATTATTTATCTTAGGAAATGTAAGAGAAGCACTCCTGGATTTCACACTTATTTGATTTTTTTTTAAATAATAATAAATATGTTTTAAATAGATGAAAGCATCACTGTCCCCATTTCATATTTTAATTTTCATAAAATGTATAATTTTTATGTATGAGCTTGAAATGTCCCAAGGTTAGATTGCAGAAATCTGGTCATCTTACCCATTAGTCATGTACAAAACAAAAAAAAAACAACAAAAAAAAACAATTTAAGATATCCCTGTTTAAGGGATAAACTAAAGGGATGAATGGGTATGCTGACAGAAAACAGATCGGGCCCTTCCTGCCAGTGACGTTACGCTACATGATTAGCTAAACATTGCCACATGACGTAAAACATCGTGGTTGCCAAGACAGTGATAATAACATCACGCAGTGTCCGTTTGCCGAGGCATCTTTAGTGTTAGCCAGTCTGTTTATGTGAACAAAGTAACTGTTAGACCATGATATAAAGAGGGAGAGCGGGGTAGCGCTGTGGCTAGCTGTGTTCAGTAGCTAACAGGTTAGCTTATTTTAGCTCGGTCAGTTAGCCATATTGAGCTACATTACTTTTAAATTTGGGTCAACAACAACTGTTTGTTTTCTACAAGTAGAATAACTGTTTTATTTGTCTAAAATCTCTAACAAAGTAATTTTAAGATGTCCCATTTGTCCTCCTCTGCCCTCAGATCTTAATAAAAAGAATAAAAATAAGCTGAGACTTTTTTTGTCACCTTGGTAAATGGCAGAGCTTAGTTAGTCTGAGAACGCAGTATTTTCCTTAAAGACTGATAATGATTGTTTTCTACTTTTGGCTACTTTAGATCGCCAGTGAAATGTAAAATAATTACAAATATAGGTAAATATTTGATCTTTAAGGGGTGCAATACATTTTGTCCGAGTGGAGTTGCCATATGTTGACGTCATAAGAATGGGGGGGGCCCCAAGCAGATCTGGTTCCTACACCAGTATGTGGGGATCTGCTTGCTTTTTCAGCGAAATAATATTTGAAGGCAGGATTATAAGTGCAAAGATAATTTTTTAGGTGGACTTTCTCGCATAAAAATATATCAAAACTACCTTTTACCCACTGATCACAGCAAATAAAGCAAAGCCTCTCTCTGCCATTGATCACAGGAGCAGCAGAAGCATCAGACGCATCTGGACAAACTTTACTGGACGTCTGACAGTATCAGAAATGAGGCTTTTTTGCTGCTAAAATCGCGTGCGGTGTGAATGTAGCGTTAAACCTTCCGATTGTTTGAATTAAACTATGAAACCTAGTAATATTGTACCAAAAAATGATCTCATGTCTTCTTATTGAAATTTACACCTCTAGTCAAGCACACATAAGTCCCATAATCAGGACAAAGGTAGTGTTGGAACAAAGACATAAAAAAATGCCCTCTGACTGCGACAGGGACACATGCAAACTGCACACAGAAACATCTCGATTCAAACTGAGGACCTGTTTGCATCAAGGAAACAGAGCTGCCGCTCTAAAAATGTGGGAAACTAAGTAAATAAAGGATTTCTCTGAGCAGTTTGGAGCCGTATGACGCGGTTTGTTTGAATCTCTGATTTTCAATCCCTTTATCTAAAATATGGCTCCTTTAAAACTCCTACAAACTTGAATTTATTTATCCCACATTTCTGTGAACCATTGTTCCACCGATGATAATCCCTCATCAGAGCATGTGAGCGGAGTGGAGCGTGGAACGGAAGAAATATGGACGAGCACAGAGTGGTTTCAATATAAAGACCGGAGCGAGGATTTCGCTCCGCTCCGATGTGGTCACATCAGTTAAAAATGTTGGATTATAAAATTTGTAAAATACCATTTATTTGATTTAAGTGTGTTTTTTTAAATTAATTATTAAATAGGAAACACGGGGCAACATGAATGGAGTGAGGTGTTGCGTTCAGGGGAAACAGTGGCATAATTTAACAGCCGGTTAAATAAGACAATACACATGTATCATCACGTCATTAAATCAAACACTGTGGGTCCCAGGGCCCTGGCATCATTACATGAAGGAATAATGTAAGGAAATGCCTTCTCCTGAGAATTTGAGCGAGCGAATGAGCAAACATCCTCCTAAGCGGGGAGCAGGAATTGCGCGGCGTGGCGCTCCGCTCCGTTCATATTCTCTGATCTGAGAGGTTCTTTTTACATTAACAGGATTCTCTTGTGTATGTGAAGAATCTGAAGCTGGAAAACTTGGGCATGAATGAAAAAGAGAAAGTGAAAAAAAAAGTTCTTATCTTTGTTGAATTATTAACAAAGAATCTCCTTCAAAGGTGGAGCTTTTGTCCCGTTAAACGATCTGTCTGCTTTGTCTGTGAAAACAGCCAAAGGTCGGCTGTGTAAAAGGAAAAGACCAGGAGGAGAGGCTGAACTCGGCTGGTCATACACACATGTCTGAAGGTGGTGTGGGGGGCGGCGGCGGCTCCTGTGTCCTCCATGTACTCCTCCCAGATGAACTCCTCCTCCATGGACTCTGCATCTGAAAAGACAAGGACAATTAGGATAAGCTCAGATAGAGGCCACACCTGTGGTTCTGACGTCAGAGCCTGAAGCTCCTGTTATCGGACCGGTCTCTGCCATTGGACCCGTTATCAGACCAATCCGGTAACAGGAACTAGTATTGGCATCAACGCATGAGGAGTTTGTAAATCTCTGCCCATCGATCGACTGAAAAAAGGCCCCGGTTTCCTCCTGCCCCGGCGCTTTGCATCCAAGGTGTGTTCTGTGATGCGGGCCGGTTCTGATCCCATGAACTGTACCTGCTGTCTCCTCCTGTGAGTGAACAGGAAGGCGCTCTCCAACAAGCTCTTAGTCTGTGCTGCTGTACTGGACTGACTGGAGTTACTGAGGCGTACATAGAATCCAGACCTAATGTCAGAAATGGCGTTGAGTTCGAGGCTTTATACAGCAGCCCAACAAAGACTTGTTTTTGTTTAGAAAACATGCAAAAACTGAAACGGACAAACAGCGCCACCCCCCTTGGAATGGGGGTCCTTTAGCTTCTTTTGTTAGCCTGCAATGCCCCATACCTGTCTATAGCCCCATTTACACTACCCTTGAAAAACCGATCCATGACGAGACCGGTCCGAGCTCGGCCTGGTTAAGTGATCCGAGCTTGGACCTGACGACCGTTTACGCATCACGCTATTCGGTTCCTCGACTCCTCGCCTCCTAGTGACGATCTGCGGTATTACTGCCAGTATTGAAGAAGGAAATCAAGCAGTTGGTGGCGGTAATGCACCAAAAGTTGTTAGCCAACCGCCACAAAACACAAGAAGAAGAAGACGACGAAGGAATCAAGCAAATCAAAATGGCGGCGCCCGTCACATTCAGAAAGTTATGCTTGATTATTATTGCTGTACTTTCGTGTTATTATTTAAAATGCCGTTATTTAAAATGTTGCGTGGAGAAGATTTCAATTGTTGTTTATAGTTTAAGAAGAAGTTGTTCTTCTTCTTCTGTTTCTGCAGGGGCATTACCGCCAACTACTGGAATGGAGTGTGAATCACGATGTGCAGCCAGACGGAGATGACGCGTTCTGCTCATGCACTCGTTATCAGAGAACCGAGCCAGGGAAAAACCAAACCTAGCCCACCTCTGGAACTGGTCTGCAGTTAGCGCGGTCCGGTTGTGTCTAGCTCGGTTCAGTTCAGTTTGCTTTCCATTTACACACGATAAGTTATCTCAGTTACTGAGCTCGGTCCGGTCTCGGCACGGTTTTTCAAGGGTAGTGTAAATGGGGTATTATGTCTCTGGAAGGGGCTCGTTAAAGGGAATTGCTGGCCTGGTTGAATAGACGAGGTCTTCTGTTCCCCTGTAAAGGGGTTGTGGTTGCTATGATAGCAGCAAGGGATCAACTTAATTGCTGTAGCAATTTAGTAGATGTCTTCTCACTATCAGGCTAAGAATCCAAACGACCCCGGTTCTGAAGGGGTGGACTGGTTCGTCTGTTTTCTAAACAAAACAAGACTTTGTTTAGCTACTGTATAAAGCCAAACTCAACGCTACTCCTGATATTTTGAATAGAAAACGCTTCCTGGATGGGAAGTTAAACGTCTTCAAACTTGGAAACAAAGTCCAGTGGATTGTTTTTTACAGTAAAAGGATTATTAGGATCAATAAAAGCACAGCTTTCTTTTAAATGTGACAGTGAGAAATTGTCTTTAAGATCTGAATCAGCTTCCAATAACTGGAATAGACGGAGGCAATATTTTCCTTTCTGGTTAACCATTAATAACTCAGCTTCAACTATAAACCAAGTTATTGACATTTACTGATGGGGAAGTCATCTTGGAGCTTAACAGCCGGTTTAAGACGTCCAGCCAGAAAGGCAAGCGGTTAATAACACCTGGAAATGAAGAAAAATCCTTTAACCAATATTGTTTAGATTGAAGAAGGTAATTAATCAATTATAACCTCTGGTTACAGGTATTAATAAATTCATAATCCGCCTGGGGAAATGGCAAAACATCAGTTTAAAATGCACTTCATCAGGAGAGGAGGTAAGAGAGACATCATCATCATCATCCTGATGAGTTGTAGCAAATGCTCCCTCATCAAGAATAGGAAAGAAACACCCTGAACCTGTGTTAAAATGGCCTAGTCAAAGTCCACATCCAAATGAGATTTCTGTTGGAGGCCTTTTGACTGGTTGTTCCCAGATGTTCTCCATCCAATCTGAGGCTGAGCTGCTTTCCCAGAGAGAAAGAAGGTTCTGGAGCCCAGGACAAACCTCAGGAGGATCTGATACATCAGAAAACAAACAGACTGATCAGTGCGACACCCAGAGGCTTAGCTAGAAAATGTTATACACTGAGGGGTGACTTAAAGTGGATAGGCGCCAGAACCTCAGGGTCAATCTACGCTGTTCCAACAGGAACATTAACGAGCGCAACAGCGAAACTTTCTAAATAAAGAAACTATACTTTCCTACAACCTTTGCTAACAAATAGCAAAGGTCGTGTCAGGACTCCAGTCTGTGTGTTTGTTTTTTGTGTTGTTCTCCCTTCCACCAGCAGGAGGCGCCTGGTTCTGGTCCGCCTCCTCACACACCTGATGGTGGTTGCCTCGTTAGCGGAGTCCTCTTAAGCTGCTGACTGCCACTACCTCGACGCCAGAGTGTTTGCCAGTTTTGGGTACTCTAGCCAAGCTGAGTAAGACTGAGTTCTTGTTCTACCTGAGTTTTAACTTCGTTTTTGTCTTTGCCTCTCGGCAGGAAGTCACCCTGCAAACTGGATCTTTTCGGACCTCCACTCCCTGGAGGAATCAACTGAGCCTCGAACCGAGCTGGGGATTCAAACAGGAGGAGAATTCGGAAATGCAACGGATGGAACAGCCGCTTCCCTACAGCTTTAAAGGATTCAGTGAAAAAACAGAGAAACCCAGCAGGAGTTTGTCCATGGAGCTGCTGCATTTTTTTAAAGATTTTTTTTATTTAACAGTCCCATTAGATCTAAAATCTCTTTTGAATGAGAGACCAGGCAAAAAGGGCATCAGCATCTATATCTAGATGACATAAAACTGATTAAACTAAATTAGAAGAAATTATGAAGATGAAGACTGCAGAAACTCTCACCTAAAAAATTTCCACATAGACATAATTTAAATCTCTAACTCTTGTTCCTGTTTGGCTGTGACTCCATCCTGGATGGAAATATCAGCTGTGCTGCTGCCATCAACACCTTTGTTTCTAGATGTTGGAGATCGGCCTGTTTTCCAGTGTAGTCCTGTTTCTCTGACTGTGACTAACTGGATGTGCTCTCTTCATCCTCTGACATGGGAGCTGGCTCGGAGCTCGTCTGCCTGGCTGTGTGTTTCCTGGACGGGGCCGCCTTTTATAGTTGCCTATTCCATCTCTGCTTCTTTTTTAAAAGCCTTCAGCTGATCCAAAATGCTGCAGCCAGAGTTCTGATGAAAATTTAAAAGAGAGACCATATCTCTCCTTTCCTAGCTTCTCTTCATTGGCTTCTTATGGTTCCTTATGTTCCTAACAGAGCACTTCGCTCTCAATCTGCAGGTTTACTAGTGGTTCCTAGAATTTCTAAAAAATAGAATGGGAGGCAGATCTTTTAGTTATCAGGCTCCTCTCCTGTGGAACCAACTACCAGTTTTAGTCCGTGAGGCAGACACCCTGTCTACTTTTAAGACTAGGCTTAAAACTTTCCTTTTTGATAAAGCTTATAGTTAGAGTGGCTCAGGTTATCCTGAGCTATCTCTATAGTTATGCTGCTATAGGCTTAGACTGCTGGAGGACATAGGGACCCCTTTTTCATCATTCTGCTTCATTCTATCTCTATTCTCCCACTCTGCAGATCTGTTCAATCTCTAACACTGTGCTCTCTGCTTTTGATGCAATCAACTGTTTTTTCTTAGGTAGAAAACCTAGAATCAAGTTGACTGGATGATCTGGTCAACTGTAAAGTGCCTTGAGATGACATGTGTTTTGAATTGGCGCTATAGAAATAAACTGAATCGAATTGAAATGACTGATTGCAGGGATTTAACGGCAATTTGGGTCTTGATTGTGAAGATCAGACCGTCAGTTGTACCTAAAACTTAAACCTCTTCTTGCTCATTTCGTACTTTGGGGACAGAAACCTGTAGGACATCCATAGATCAGAGATAATAATTTCCTTTAACCTTCTTATTAAAAGACTCGTCAAATATGATGGAAGAAACCAGCCAGACCCAAAGATCTCACCTGTGTTCACCTCCTCCTCCTTCCCATTGGTTAGCTGAGCCACAGTAAGGGCCAGCGGCTGCTCCTGGGGGCCGGTCTGCATCCTGCTGCTCGACCTTTGACCGTTGAGCAGATGTGCTTCCATCCTCCCTTAGAGCATCTCGTCACTCCCACCTGATCGGACCTGCAAGAGAACAGTTCAGCTATGAGTTTTTCTAAACCTCCGGGTCTAGAAGCTTGGAAGCTTGCTTTAACGAAGCACCAGGATTGTACATCTAAGAGGAAACAAAGCATCCTGCTTTTCTAGTTTCTCCACAACAAACTAACGAAGAAGAGGGCGATGAATGCAATGCAGAAGCCTGAGTGGAATGCTGCTGATCTACTCTAACTCTGCAGCAGCAGGCAGATGTAAAGTGTAATTTGATGAAGCTGTAATTGCAGGCTGTCCTCAGCCTCTGCAGCGTCTGCGTGTTGTTTGCATACCACAGCAGAACTCCGCCATGCAAACCAATCAGAGGAGCAGGCAGAAAAACTGGAAGGACGCGAACAAGGAGATGGAGCCGGAAAAATGCAGCCATGGAACCAGAGAGATCAAAAAGCAGCTAAATATCAGTTAGTTATACTCGTTCCTTCATATACAAACTTATTATTTCCATGAAGTCTAGTGACGCTGTTGCAACGTAAAAATGAAAAAGTAACACATCAGTTTTCAGGAATCACACAGGCTTTATGGGATTTATCTTTGGGATGAAGAACATGAAGAACCTGCAATTATTCAGATATTTAGATCCCATGTTTGTACGGAAGAGGATTAGGGCCACTGGAAAAAAAAAGGTTAACTGATTTTTTAATTTTATTTCAGTTTAGTATGGGAAAAAAGTCAGAAATTTTTTTTCTCAGAATTCTGACTGAATTTTGACAATAAAAAAGTCAAAATTTTGAGATTAAAATCAGAATTCTGAGATTAAAGTCAGAATTCTGAGATTAAAGTCAGAATTCTGAGATTAAAGTCAGAATTCTTAGATTAAAGTCTGAATTCTGAGATTAAAGTCAGAATTCTGAGATTAAAGTCAGAATTCTGAGATTAAAGTCAGAATTCTGAGATTAAAGTCTGAATTCTTAGATTAAAGTCAGAATTCTGAGATTAAAGTCAGAATTCTTAGATTAAAGTCTGAATTCTGAGATTAAAGTCAGAATTCTGAGATTAAAGTCAGAATTCTGAGATTAAAGTCAGAATTCTTAGATTAAAGTCTGAATTCTGAGATTAAAGTCTGAATTCTGAGATTAAAGTCAGAATTCTGAGATTAAAGTCAGAATTCTGAGATTAAAGTCAGAATTCTTAGATTAAAGTCTGAATTCTGAGATTAAAGTCAGAATTCTGAGATTAAAGTCTGAATTCTTAGATTAAAGTCAGAATTCTGAGATTAAAGTCAGAATTCTTAGATTAAAGTCTGAATTCTGAGATTAAAGTCAGAATTCTGAGATTAAAGTCAGAATTCTGAGATTAAAGTCTGAATTCTTAGATTAAAGTCTGAATTCTGAGATTAAAGTCAGAATTCTGAGATTAAAGTCAGAATTCTGAGATTAAAGTCAGAATTCTGAGATTAAAGTCAGAATTCTGAGATTAAAGTCTGAATTCTTAGATTAAAGTCAGAATTCTGAGATTAAAGTCAGAATTCTTAGATTAAAGTCTGAATTCTGAGATTAAAGTCAGAATTCTGAGATTAAAGTCAGAATTCTTAGATTAAAGTCTGAATTCTTAGATTAAAGTCAGAATTCTGAGATTAAAGTCAGAATTCTGAGATTAAAGTCAGAATTCTTAGATTAAAGTCTGAATTCTGAGATTAAAGTCAGAATTCTGAGATTAAAGTCAGAATTCTGAGATTAAAGTCAGAATTCTGAGATTAAAGTCTGAATTCTTAGATTAAAGTCAGAATTCTGAGAAAAAAAGTCTGAATTCTGAGACGCATTCAGCGTCTGCTCTGCCGATAATGCAAGCGTAGAAGAAGAAATGTGCTGTTTACCTGTGCAAAGAAAGAAACAACGAAAGAAAAATGTCTGAGGACTTCAGTGTTGAGGAAGAGCATGAGTTCTTTGCCGAGCTGAATGCGCTGGTTTGGTCTGCCGTGGTTTCCGTAGACTCGTGAACGCGCTTTTAGGAAATCCTATACACTACTGTTTATGCTCTAAAAACATTCTAAATGACTTTGTTTCGAGTAAATTCTGGATGCTACCCATTCAGGACACTTGGAATACATTGGACGAGCAGTATGGAGGAATATTGACACGTTTTTTGTGGACTTTTATGGACCTTTCTGCCTCGGGCGCCATAGACCTCCATTATTTGAATGTCAGCAGACAGCAAGAAGCCTCCCAGATCTCCAGATGCATTTGAGATATCAAAAAAGTACTCCAGAGTGTTGTTCAGCATGGGGGTGAGTAGAAAATGAAGGCTAATCATGTTTTGGGTGTACTATTCCTTTAATTCCGTAAAAATTAAAAAAATATCCATTGGACTTGGTTTTCAAGATTTGAAGACGTTTCGCCACCTCTCCAGGAAGCTTTCTCAATTCAAATGTCAGACATTAGAATTGAGAAAGCTTCCTGGAGAGGTGGCGAAACGTCTTCAAATCTTGAAAACCAAGTCCAGTGGATATTTTTTGAATTTTTACGGAATGACGATGACCTGGATGACTGAGAACCTTCATCAGCACTATTCCTTTAACGACAAGAATGAAGGAACCTGGAGGCAAACCTGAAACTTGCCCACAGCAAGCATATTCCTAAGGGGATGGATGGAAGTAAACCCTCGACTGAACAGAAATAATCTCAATAATTATGGATTAATAAGCCATTAAACAGATATTTTAGTGGAAATATTCAGATTCAGTGTTTGTTTTAGTAACTGATTAAAAAACAGCTTAATTGATCCGCACTAACGATTAACAGATAAAGTTGATTCATTTTATATGTCAGAACAAACATTTAAATGTGATTCGGTTTAATTATATGAAAATTAAAGAAATTAAAAATATATAAATAATGTTAAATTACAGATCTGATCCAACATTAAACCTGAAGCTGATTCCAATTTTCTCCAGCTTTCTGCAGCTTTGATTCCTCTGCTG